TAAGCGTTTCGGGTGACTTATTCAGTAGGAGCCCTTTACAATCCTAGCAGCTCTTTTAGAAGGTTGCCCCGGATGAAATGGGAACGTCTCATACCAGCTTTGAGGGTATCTGTTGCTTTTCGGACTTTTCATGGGCTTCCCCGTGCCTTGGGGTGGTGGCTGGTAATCCAAGAGTCAGTTTTCACTGAATGACACGACAGTGTGTACCAGTGCATTCTGGGAGATTCCTTCACAAGCCTCCTGCTCAAAGTTACTGAAAACGGTCAGTCACATGGTCAGTCCTGTGGCTAATTTAAATCCTTGCTGTGGTGAGGATAAGCTCGCCTTTCCTGGCACATCGTGGTGTGTCCGTGGTGCATCCGGCAGTTGGTCAACACCCGCGTGTGGCATGTTGGGATTGACCATGTGGTTGAGGGACTTCCCACAGAGGGAACCCCTTTGAAAACTTTGCAGAAACCTCCAGAAAAATAGCCAAATTCCATGTGTTTTTCTTTTTAATATAGTTTAGTTCACATGTGGTTCTGAAGAAACATTTCGTATCACTATATACCTGTATATCCTCCTGAGACCCAAGGAAAAAAAATGTCCTTCAGTTTTAGGTTAATTGTGATTTTCAATGTCTTTGGAGTAAATAAGACATCTTTTTTCAAATTTATTTTTAATTTCACAGCATGTCCTCTTTTGTGTACAACAGGAATAAATACGTTTCCTTACATCAGTGAAAAGATAGATGCAAAAACAAAATGTCCACCGCAATGGACATAAATGAATGGGTGGGTCTCAGGAGGATATGGATGGTATGACAATAAAGTCCACTTGACTTCAATCTGAAATACATATTTATGCATTACATAGCTGTTTTGTATCCTCTGTCAGTCTGGGTCATTTATTCAGCATGTAAATTTTAATGTGATCTTTACAACCATAATGAACAATGATGCTTTCTTGGAACCGGTTCTGTACTGGCCCATGAACAATGATAGTCTTACGTAGTTCAGTAATGTCTCTGCATCTCTGCTGAGGTACACTGCCCCTCCCCCACCATCTCTCAATGAATCAAACACACTTTAAGACTGATTGCGTGTAAACGGTTGGTGCTGGAGCTAGGCGATATGACCTCAAATCAATTTCACGATTAATTGAACATTCTGATTATGATTAATGAACAGTCATTTTTGGGGGGTTTTTTGCCCTCATTTCACAGACAAGGTTTGTACTGTAAATATGCTCAACTATTAAAGATGAGATTTTTTTCTAATGAAATCTTTGATTTTAAAATAATTCCACACACAGGTGAACGATTTATGATTATTGAATGTTTTGAACAACTAAAATCAAAGCACAAATCGCTTGAAATTGAAACATCTTGTGGAAAAGGTCACATTTTAGATTTAATGCGAAAAAGCAAGTTCCCTAAAAGAGTAGAAAATACCGGTAGTTTGTATTTCTTGCAAACAAAATAAATTACAGTGAAAACTGTTTATAGTGATCACGTCTGTCTGGGTGAAACCGTTCACTATAAGTGGATGATCATTATAACCAAATTTTTCTTTTTCTGTACATCTGAAGCAGATTACCATCTGATTGACATTTGTATACTTATTACATGCATATAAGGTAATAAAATGGACAGCGTCACTATTTACTGAATTGTATTCATTGACTTCTTCAAAATACAGCACAGCTGTTTAAAACGCTTTTCTAAATATAGTACTGCTCAAATTACCTACTGAACTGTGTATAATTCAAATACACTATAATACAATGCAATAGAGTACTGTACATAAAGGAGAGACTATTGTAGTTTCCCTACTGCAGCTCGTTGGCTCTTTTTTGACATTTTGTCAAACTTTTATTTCATTTTAGTCTATATTCATGAGAGAAAATTACTTTTTCCAGTCATGTTTTCTGTGCATGCAGCATTAGCTTCTGGTAACTACCCAGAATCAGATGGGTTACCACAAGGCAAAGTATGCAAGTAAAAAAAATTACCACAGTTTTATTTTTTCCCCAAAGAATGTTTTAAAAAGACCCGAAATGAACACTGTAAGCTGGATTACTTAATTACTATAAGCAAATTATTTAAACGGTATTTGTAGAGGAATGATTCTGTCCCTAGCTTTTTGATCCATATAAGCAGTTGATCACTATAACTGTGATCACTATAAGTAGTTTCCACTGTATTTTAAATATCGCTAGTGTTGAAGCCGATTGGTGGTATTATCCGCAGTTTTTACATCTGACCTCTTTTTGTTCGGTGACTACTTCACTAAAGTCACAATGTGTCCAAACGATGGACATGGCATTTTTCTTTGGTACAAGCTGCTTGAGTTGCTCAGTCAGCTCAGTGTTTGAGTTCTCCTCCATGTTGCTCCCATGTTGCTCCCATGTTGCAGACTGAATGGGGCAGAGTCACATGACAGCACACGCGGTAGTATGTTTTTAAGGGGACAGGACATGAACACACACTGGGGGAGGTATTAAAAGATTTAAAAAAAAAAAAAGTATTAACAGAATTAAACAAAAAACCTACGTAACCGACATGGGCAAGATTACGTCGGTTAGAGGTTCTTAATGCAGTTTTGATTATTTTTTTATTAATTGCCTAGCCCTAGTTGAAGCTTAGGCTGATTTGCCATATTCACTTTGTCCATTTTTGTTTTTTTTTGTGATGAGACCACCAGTGACCTAAAGTCAGGCTTCCTTGTCAAATGTTACAGTACTGGGAACCAAAACTCACTCATGTAATCCAACAAAGAACTTTTGTTAAATATCCAAAACTCAGAGCTACACAAATGCTACTTACTTATGATCTGAAGCTGTTCACATATCCCATGGTCTGAGTCAGTTTAGGAAATTAGCTTTTCATTTGGCTTGTAAGTGCCTAAAGAGGCCGTTTGGCTGTGGGATTGAAGCCTGGGTACGGCTTGACCCTAGCTTGTTGGTTTTCTGTGATCTCCCTGTCAACCCCCCCCCCCCCTCCCCCCCCGGTCACGTCCGGCCTCCTCTGGCCTCGTGGCCATAATCATACCATCAATTATTCAGGACTGCTGATGGAGCCACGGTATTTCTGGAAGGCAGCGGGTCCCTCCGGCCCATTCTCTATGCGGGTTGTTTCCCATCATGCCTCTGTGTCGAGGTCGCAGCCTGAAAGGAGTGGAAATGACTTCTCATGCAGGCGAGGTATAGACCGGGCAGTTGAGTGGAGATTAACTGCTACAGACACTGGAAAACATTCCCATCCTGGCTTATGTGTGGCTCAGTGGGACACTGTGCCTGTAACCGGAACGTCGGCAGTTCATATCCCATGGTCAGCAGAGTAGTGTCACCACTGGACCCTTGAGCAAGGCCCTAACCCCCAGTTGCACTAGGGACTGTCTGATCCTGCCTTCTCAGCTATATGTTGTTTACGATAAAAGCGCCTGCTAAATAAACATGCAAAGTCAAAATTAAAGGAAAAACTTTCAAATGGATACATATATAAAATATATCTACCTGGCACCTGTCTAAGTAGGTAGGTTGTTAGTTACACTTAAATGACCGGGTTGCGTAGTGCAAACACAGTTACGGTTCTCCAGCTTCATATAAAGTTACAATCAAGCATTTGCACCAGCTGGATAGGGGGGGGGGCACTGGCATGAGGACTAAATCAGGCCTAAAGTCAGTCGCAATTCTGTGACCAATTTCAAATGCCTCACCCCAGCCCACCCAGAATGACTGCATTTACATTTGAATTTATTTTTATTTAGGAGACACTGTGGCCCCAAGCAATGTGCAAGTGAGGCAGACAGCACAATGCAAACATACGTGCTGTGGAGCAGTGGATTAGGCATCTGTGGAGCAGTGGATTAGGCATATGTGCAGCTAGGCTGAGTTTCCAGAGAATCTAATAAGTACAGCGTCTTCCACAACAAAACAAGAAGCTAAGTGCAGCATTCAGCGAACATGGAGTGGTGTAGGATAGTCGAGGTGTTTCTGGGATGCATGGCTTTGGTGGAGAGTAAGGATGGGCCGATCCCTATTTTTTTCAGTTCTGATCTGATTCCGATACACAACTGCCGATACAGATTCCAATACAAGTGCTCTTTTCACTTTAATATTTTAATATAATAATATAAAAATACATATAATACATTTAATATTTTTAAGCTAGTAAATACAGATGAAAAAATGTATGCCAGAAAATCTTTAATTAGGCTACAAGAAACATACATAACATACTGTTCCACCTCGTTTGTGCATCTTCTTTTGAGGCATTTGCAATTCAATCTCAATATCTTCCAAGTGAGGATACGCAAATGGGTAATGTTGAAAATGCCCCACAATGTTTCTCCCAATGGTAACAGTGTATCACAAGCCGCAGCGGGTGCACAAAACAGCCCAAGCCAGTGATCCCCCAAATCATACACTGTTTTTTTTTCATGTTTCTTGCGTTGTCTCATGCAATTGTGCGCACTTTGTTTAGTGGGATTTTCCACTAAACGCTACTCCCACCTCTCAAAACTTTGTTTTTACAAAGATTACAAATCGCTGTGCCCCTAGTTGCTGTGAAAAGTGTAAAGATCTTCACCTTCTTATGTAATATTTTTACACTACTCCTACTGCAAAGGATATGCCCATGATGTCACTGTGCTCACATCCACTGAGTAGCAAAAACAGAGTGGCAACGTTTGCGTTCAGCTTGAATGCCTCAAAAAACATCTAAAATGGGACAGAGCTGTCGTGCGATTAATTGTACAAATAGATTTAACATGGAATATGAGCTTTTTTTTTTGAGACTGCCAAAAACTAAATGAAGTATCGGGCATGGATCAGTCACGTATGGCCGATACCCGATCTGTCAAAAAGGTCTGGATCGGTGCTGATGCCGATCCGAAACGGTGCCTCTCTAGTGGAGAGGGAGTCTCGTGACCAGATGTGGTTTGACACACTTTGAACTTACTGACAGTTCACCATTTGTATAGGTCCCTTCAATGCCTTTGCTGTTTTTGCTTTTTCAGGTATAAAAGGGTATTTTCTGTGGGCACCCATGGCATCACCACTTACAACCCCACGACGTTAGAAGTAACCAATCAGGTGAGAGGGGGAATATGTTTCCTTTCTAATCAGATTTAGTAGTAATAAGCTTTACCCTGTGTGATTTTCATTCTGTGCTTCTCCCTTTTTCTTACTGCTCCATGTCTACGCTCACGTTCGTCCCACACATCTGCCCTCCTCCGGCACCAGTGGCTCTACGGGGACATCTGCGGGATCAGCCCCGTGGGGAGGGGCCAGGGGGCCGAGTTCAGCCTCACCTTCCGCAAAGGCAGCGGCAAGAAGTCCGAGACACTCAAGTTCTCCACAGAACACCGGACTGAGCTGCTCACTGAAGCCCTGGTGAGACTAACCCTGCCGCCCATTACCCCCCAACTTCCTCAAAATTGTGGTACAATCAATTGGTGTAACTAAGTGGATTAGGACACTGCGCCTATGATCAGAAGGTTGTTGGCTCAAATCCCAGGGTCTGCAGAGTGATTTCACTGTTGGGCCCTTGAGCGAGGCCCTTAACCCCTGATTGCTCCTAGGACTGGTTAACCTTCTCTCTCAATTGTACGTGGCTTTGGATAAATCCTGTGTCATATATCATTCATACAGTATCATGGCGGTCTGGTATATCCCCCTGCTTCACCTGCTTCCAGTGTAACCATTCCTGGATATAGCATAAGCAGTTTAACACAGTATACTCACATTACATGCTGTTACTAGTTGAGCGTAAGACCCTGCTGCAGTAGCGTGTTGCCAGTGCGGCCGTGAGTAACGTGAGGTTTGGCCGCTTCGTGTCTAATGCCCTTTCTCTTCCTGCAGAGATTCCGGACAGACTTTTCTGAAGGGAAGATCACTGGCAGGGTGGGTATATGCAGAGTGAGAGTGAGGGGGGGGGTTGACACAGGTATCCGCCCTGGGCACCATCGTCTGAGGGGGTGCTGACTGAGCCAGCCTTAAACGGGGAGGGGGGACACTACATTGGCTTTGACCAGTCCTGAGTGAGTGTGTACATGCGTGGGTCTGACTTCAGATGAAGTTGATGTCTGCTGTTAGCTGTGACAGATGAGGCTAGTGAAGTTTCTGTTGCAAGGATCAAGGGCCCTCTGTGCTGGTAATCATAGCACATGATGTAAAAAATAATAATAATAATAGTGACGAAAATATTTTGTGACTTGTTTGGAAGTGTTGTGTATATTCAATTTTTTCAGACTGATTGCTGTATATTAATTGTTGCATAAATTGGGCTGATGGAGTAAGATATATTTTTATCCTGTAATAAGGTTTTTTTTTTTTTAATTATGCCATAAAAGCAAACACTGTCCTGTAATTTTGACACATTTTCTGGAAATATTCCAATTCCTTCTGCAGTAATGTAATTTGTACAGCGCGCCATCTGTCATAATAACGACAGATCGACCTGGGGATGAAAAGGGGGTTTTGGCACAGAGCTGCCTAAGCCGTGATTCTCGGTTTGAGTAGATTTCAGGTTGCGTGTGAATGAGTCTGTGATGCAGGCTGTTTGAATGAAGCTGGCGGTGCTGCTCTGACAGGCAGATGCTAAGAAAGTGGTATGTTTTCCATACAGCCATCAGTGTGCCTTTGTATGGTACTGTCCTGAAGTCAGTCTTAGGCAGTCAAAGAAAGCTGTGATGTCAGCTTAGCCATTTCAAAACCTCTCCTAAAGTTACACCAGCGTTTGCAGTAACCATCCAATACGTCTGTGTATTTTTTGACTACCACTAGCACACCTTGTTTTGGCAAATCAATACCAAATCAAGTTATTTAAGTTAGTTAGTTAGTTAATTGTGCTGATGGTGGGCTTCCCCTGAGGAGAGGTTCGGGAACTGAAACGGTGATCATCTAGTCATCCAGCTGGATATCAGTAACTTTTAGGAGAACAGAAGAAATTATTATTATTATTATTATTTTACTGTTACTGCTAGTTTGCGTATGTTTTAATGTTAATTAAATTCATGTTAATGATACTTATTTGTTTGTGTTTTTGTGGTTGTTTGTGTACACTTCTCAAATATAGCGAACATTTTCTTTGCCTGTCTAAGACTTTTGCACAGTATTGTATTTCTGTATATATACATGACACTGTGGTTGCTGGTCTGTGGTAACCTATCCATCCCTCTGCCAATTCCTCTGTTAGTTGTGACGGTCACGTGATTCTCCGCACTCACAGCGCTACAACTGTTACAAGCACCACTGGAGCGACTCGCGGAGGCCGGTGGTGCTGGAGGTAACGCCAGGGGGCATCGACCAGATCGACCCGCAGAGCAACCGGGTGCTGTGTTCATACGATTACCGCTCCGTGGAGGGCTTCGTCGAGCTCTCCGACTACCAAGGGGGCTTCTGCATCGTCTACGGCGGCTTCGGCCGGCTGGTATGCGTGCCGCCATTGTCCCCCCCGGCCATCTTAAAGCCCCCACTAGCTCGTCGGCAAATCCTAACGTGCTCCACACCTCCCCAGCACCTCTTTGCCTCCGAGAACCGGGACGAGATCATCCGCAGTGCCGTGGAACATGCCGGCAACTTCATCGGCATCACTCTGCGGCTGCGCAAGGAGGCGCTGGCCTTCGAGGGCTTCCTGGCCGAGCGCTTCGGCAAGTACGGCTCTGACGACTGTGTCACCTCGCTGGCCGAGTTTGTGGTGCAGAAGGTCTCGCCGCGACACAAGGTCAGCCCCCCCCTCCCCCACCCTCACTGGCTTAAAGATCCTTCATTTCCTTAACTTAATTGCATACCTTTTCTAATAATCACAATAGATACTTGCATGTTTTGGGTTTTTGGTCTCTGATAGGTGAATCCCATTTGTTTTATTTAGCAGACATTTTAATCCAATGTGCAGTTGAGAAGGCTAGATCAGACAGTCTCTGGAGCAATTAAAACTCTTACAGAAACATCTGAACTGGGGTACAGGGTTATGTTTTTGTGTGTCTGCCAGCAGGTGGTGTGGGGATTTGGGATTGTAGCTTGGAGGTTGTGAGTTCTGCGTGGGGTTGAGATTAATTCAGGAGATCAGATTAAGTAAGCCTAAGTGATTTAGGATATGGATATGGTTAATGATGACAGTTCCTGCTAATGGTGCTGTGGTACTTACTCCACTTGTAGGCATTATACCTTTTTCATCTTCTGTTGTGTGAAAGGAGAAGGTCAGCACTCCCCTTGACAAAGAAACAAGCAGCCCTAATGAATGACCTTCTGCACTGCCTCCTGCTTCACGAGATCGCTAAACAATTTTTAATTGGGATTGTATGTGGCTCTATGGGTTAGGACTCTATGCCCGTACCTGGAAGGTTATCAGTTCAAATCCCAGGGTCAGCAGGGTGATTTCACTGTTGGGCCCTTGTGCTGGACCCTTAGCCCCAATTGCTCCAGGGACAGACTGACCCTGCTTTCTCAGTTGTACTTCACTTTGGTGCAAATCTTATGTTCTCTCCGTTTATTTAAAGTTAGTTGTTATCGTAGGGTGAGGAGTTGTTATATTTTTCTATGTCTTGTCTCTGAGGCTGGTTAACTGTCATGGTGCCGATTCTGAACCCGTTCTGGATCATGGGCAGGGGGGTGTTGGTGGCGGCCCTAAATGTGGCTGTGAATGTTCCATCAGGAGCCGGTGAAGAGGATCCTGGCCCTAACAGAGACATGCCTGGTGGAGAGGGACCCAGCCTCCTACAACGTTGTCACCCTGAAGCCCTTCGAGGAGGTATGTGTCACCCTCCCCACCCCCACTAAAGCTTTGTCCCTGCTCTATCTGGCTGTTTCCAGTCCACGGGCTTCCGCTCCGCTTCCATGGTGTTTTCATACCAGTCTGCGGGCCTCTACTCCGTTTCCATGGTTTTTCTGGCCACTCCCGTCCATGTGCCTTAAGGGGCAGTGGTGGCCTAAAGGTTAGGGAAGTATGCTTGAGATTGAAAGGTTGCTGGTTCGAATCCCCAACCAGCAAGGTAGCACTGAGGTACCCTGAGCAAGGTACAGTCCCCACGCACTGCTCCCCAGGTGCTAAATAATAGCTGCCCACTGCTATGTCACAGTGTCACATATGGGTTAAATGCAGAGGATAGTTTTGTTAAATTTGACTACTAGCTTAAGTAATTAGTGAAATAACGTGACGTAATGACGTTGATTGAACATGGTGTCCTAATGGTCAGCAAATTTATGGGTGTGTTGGACTGTTTATGCAAACACTGGGGTGACTTTAGGAGAGGTTTTGAAATGCCTGAGCTGACACACTTTCACAGACATGAAGACCATTTAATTTTTTTAAGACTTTTGTATGCCTTTTCTACAGTACGATATATATATATACACTGTACAAAACTCTTTTCTTTTATTGCAATCCAGTATGTATTCTGCAATCCAGTACATATTCATTATTTATACCACTGTACAGTCACTGTTTATTTTTCACATACATACACTGAAGCTGTTTGTAGCACTTCCTAGCACTATTTTGCACTTTTGGATTATATTCCCAGCTGCATCTTGCTGACTGAGTGGTTGTGCTTTGTGCTGTGACAAAGCAGAATTTAATCTAATCTATACTTGACACTCTCCACCCAATTCAGCTCAATTCAGCCTATTTCTATATAGTGCTTTTCACAGCTGAGTCACCCAAAGGCAAGTGGATATGCTGTGATACATTCCTGCATCATTTGTGCAGAGTAATTAAAAAAAGAAAAAGGGAAAGGGAAGAAGAAATGAATGTTAAATGACAGAAATTAAATGACAATGAAGAAGAATAGTGGAAAGAAAAACTCCCAAGTAGAGAGATTTGGCATCCTGAACATGAGCTGGCAAACTGTCCCCACGTTATAGGGACCCTGTAGCAGAATGCTTTACAGCCAGTTGTTACTTTATTTATATGTAGAATGACAAGGAAAGCTGCGCTCTGTGATCTGAGTGAATGATACGGCTTGTAGACTTGAATTAGTTCTGCTGGGTAGACAGGCGCAGGACCTTTGAGTGTCTTATGTGTGAGTAGGAGAACTGTGAAGTGAGTCCTGAACCTTACAGGAGGCCAGTGCAAGGAACCGAGAACAGAGGTTGTGTGTTCAGACTTCCTGCTTCTGGTGACAATTCTGGCTGCTGCATTTTGAATATTCTGCAAGGTGTTTAATTTTTCAGAATGACGGAGCGTTACAGCGGTATGAACTACTGTATATAAAAAAGCATGCACTAGTGTCTCATGTCTTGAATAGTAAGGAAACATCATAGTTTGGCAATGTTATGTAGCTGTAGTAAGCATGCCTTCGATACTGCATCCACATGTGATTTGAACGAGAGGTTTGCATCTTAGGTGATGCCTAAGTTTCGGACTAACCTGCTGAGGAAAAAGCCCCTCACAGTGGAGTGCAGAGATTATAGCAGGCCTATCCGCAGACTTGCCTCCAAACAGAACCTTTGTTTGCTTTGCATTTAGTGAGTTTTTACTCATCCAACGTTTTAACTTCATTAAAGAAATGGTGTCATCAGCTTAGGAGTGATAATGTCTGAATTATGTTTTCTCAATGTTACCTAAGGGCAACATGTAGAGACGGAACAATATAGGACCAAGAACTGATCCCTGTGGTACTCCATATTTGATCAGTGACAATGACGACCAAGTGCAGTTGTTGGACACTTGAACATTGATATTGATTAGTCGAATATCTGAACAGTATCTTCCCTTTAATCTGAAACAATGGTCTCTCTGTCATTCCCATTGCACTCGTCTGTCTGGTTGTCTGTCCTTTTTTATAATATGTCAGTTTGATATCATGGTTCATGAGGACCCATAAGGCCCTGTGTTTCCCAGAACATAAGCGCCACCCCAGTGTTGGCACAATCCATTGTCCCAATCCAGCCTGATCCTCTTTTGTCTTCGTGTCTCCTTGCCAAAGGTCTTCGCACTCGTATGTGACACCGAGAACCCGCAGATGTTTACCGTGGAGTTCATCCGGGGGCAGATCCGAAGATACTCCTCCACGGAGAGGTACGCACCTGTCACGTGGCCTTGCTTACTCATGTTGGTAGGGCCTTAATGCGCAACTCTGCCTTCATGCTCCAATTGTTCATAATTTCTGTGTGAAACTTGATTTCATGAACACAGTAACTCAAAAAGTATTTTATTGGAGCCATTTCGAACTTCCCAAGAACATTGTATCGATGATGATTTTCAGAAAATTTGCACCAAAATTAAAGCAGTGCCACATAGCGGTAGCACATGAAATGACAGCCACGGATGCAGATCTGGTGAACCTGATTACACTGAGACAATTCATACAAAGTCAGTCTTTTAATAAAGGTTATTTTGGGAGAGGTGGGGAGAGTATGTAGGCAGCTAGGGACTAGAGTTTGAGTGGTGTTGGAGTAGTAGTGACTAAATGGGGATGGGGGCGGGGAATACATTTTTGACATTCCTACAGCATCTAGACGATTTTTAATTCCATCTTCAGGGACGCCCTCCTGGCCAGCGTGCTGGATGGGGTTCGTGCCTCAGGAAACCGGGATGTGTGCGTGAAGATGGTCCCTACGCATAGGGGTCAGCGCTGGGGGCTGCTCAGCACCCCTGTGGATGAGGAGGTGGAGAGCCTGCACCTCAAGTTCTTGGCGACACCCCCTAGTACGTCCCCAAGTGCTAAGTGCCTGAGTGAACATCCTCTCAGGCTGAGCCTGGTCTCCTCCTCCATTAATAACCATTTCACACTCAGTGTAGGAGGTTGAATTTCATGGTCATGTAGTCTCTAAACCCTTGTTTTTGCAACTCGTTTGAACCTGTTTCTGTACCTTTGTGGTAGGAGGTTCTCTGTCCATATTTTCTGTGTGTGATTCTTGTGAACACGGTAACTTTAAAAGTATTTGATGGATCACTTTCAAACTTCCCAGGAACATCTTAAAGTTGATGGAACCTGTTCCATTTTGAGACACTAAACTTGAAGCAGTGGCACATATTGGTGTCATGAAATGACAGACACAAACACAGATTCGATGAACCTTATTAGAAGTCACTTAGAGTTGGGTTTTTAGTAAATATATTTTTGGTGCTTTGTCCTGCAACGCAAACACTGTGAAACAGGTTCTTCCGGCACAGCCCCAGTCTTACCCAACCTGACATTCTTTTTCTGACAGACGGCAACTTCGGTGATGCTGTGTTCCGCTTCAATGCCAACATCTCCTACAGCGGCGTGCTGCATGCTGTCACGCAAGATGTAAGAGCTGTGCACCTCCACCCCCCAGCTTACCAACGTGGCCTTCTGGCTGAGTCCTGAGTGAGCTCCTCTCTGCCCATCCCCCCACCCCCCAACAGGGCCTGTTCTCCGAGAACAAGGAGAAGCTGATCAACAATGCCATCCTGGCACTGCTGTCCCAGGACACGGAGTTGCCAGTGACCAACGCCGAGCTAGAGAGCCACTTCCAGGCCATCCGCCGGCTTGTGGCCTCCAAGGCTGGCTTCCAGGCCTTCACTCAGCTGCCCAAGTATGTCCCGCACTCTCACTCACTCACTCACACACTCTCTCTCTCTCTCTCTCTCTCTCTCTCTCTCTCTGTCTGTCTGTCTGTCCTATGGAATTTGTTTTCTTCTAGTGGCTAGGCATGATGGGACACATATGCCCTGTCATTCTATGGTCTGTTCACATTACTGGACCCCGCTAGGGGCAGTGCCTCACCTTACCTTGGGAAAAACGGAACTGTTAGTTGAATTGACAACATCTGAGTGTCCATGCTGATGTCAGCCTAGGGCTGCACCCCCCACTCCCCAAGTATAAACATTAGGTCTTCATCATTCCTCTTACTGAAACCTTTCTCATCCCAGTGAAAATCTGATGTTCCGGTTACCATAAGAGAAATCATTATAAGTGAAGTAGACCACGTTTCAGTGGTTCCTTTTCTATGGCCCCTTAACAAAGGCCTTTATGTTTGCGTGCAAGCAGAATAATACATAGATGGTTCTGGCCTTTAAGCTCTCTGCTTTTCCCCTCCCCACAGATGTGAATGTAACTCTAACGACCACCAGCACTTTGTCACTTCATTGTGAAATGCACCTTTGCGGTGCTGTTTTGTGTATTTATCTTTCATTTTTAAAAAATGTATTATTTATTCTTACGTATCATTCTGCTTCTCCATCATTGTCCATTCTAAACATCCCATCCATGTTTACAATTACATTGTGTTTCTATTATGTTGTTTTTGTCTTACACAAATGGCAAATGATTAAAATGCCCCACAATGTTTCTCCCGCTGACAACAACGTCACTTACACTTCATCACGACAGCAGCCCCTCCTGTACCACAAGCTGTAGCAAGTATGCAAAACAGCCCAAGCTAGCGACTCCCAAATCATACACTGCCGTTTTCATAATACCTGCGTTATCTCATCGCGTTGTCTCGCACAATTGTTTGCACTTTGTTTAGAGGGATTTCCCAATAAACGCTACTTCCACCTCTCAAAACTTTGTTTTTACAAAGATTGCAAATCACTGTACTACTAGTTGCTGTTAAAAGCGTAAATTACTTCCAGATCTTCACCTTCTTATCTGATGCTCTTGCGCTCCTCCTACCGCGAAGGGTATGCGCATGACATCACAGCAGGCGGAAGTCGCTGTGCTCACACCCAGTGAGTGGCAAATAAACTTAGTGGCGTTGTTAAGCATTCAGTTTGAATGTCGTAAAAAACACACCTATAATGGGAAAGACCTTCATGCGATTAATTGTACAAATCGATTTAACATGAAATAAGAGGTATCTTTTTAGACTGCCAAAAATTAAATGAGTTTCGGATGTGGATCGGTCACATATGGCCGATACCCGATCTGTCTAATAGGTATGAATTGTGTCATTAACGATCCCGAATAACAGATCATTGCACCTCTACTGAATATGGTTGGTGTGACAATAAAGCCCTTCTTGACTTGATAATCAGCTACTGCTGAATGTAAATTAATCTAAAGGCTGTCCATCACTTGCTGTGGTGATTGCTCACTTTCTTTAATTCGTTTTGTGTGTGTGTGTGTGTGTGTGTGTGTGTGTGTGTGTGTGTGTGTGTGTGTGTGTGTGTGTGTATGTGTGCGCGCGCGCGCGCCTGCGTGTGTGTCTGAGTTCAGGTTCCGGGAGAAGCTGGGGGTGAAAACGGTCAAGGCCCTAAAGAGGAACAACAATGGCGTGACTCACGCCGCCATCGACATGCTGTGCGCCCTCATGTGTGTAAGTGTGAACTCATTGCCCATTGTCATGTGACCATCACTGACAAATGGTGGCCAATCATGGCATGGAATCTATGCTAGTGTCATTTCAAAGATAATTAGCGTGACAGTTAAAGAATTTCCCTAAGTGTGACGACTGTACAGTGGTTGTTTTTGTATTATTTCAGGGTTATAAATGCAGCTGTGCAGTGTTTTTGTAGTATTATAGTAGCTTAACTTAACTGGCATTATTATAAGAGTCAGTTTTCATGGGATGCTTGCTTTGGCAGGCTGGGTCCTGAAAGCTGTGGTAATCTGTCTGACTGGGGATTCCAAATGGGCGGACCTTTCTTTGTCGTAGCCAGTCAGCTGTAGGGGGGGTGGGGTGTTCCATCTGGCCACTGCATGAGCACCGCCCACTGATCTGTTGTACTGGCCTCTGTGTACTTGTCAGTTCTTGAGCTGTGATGTATAAAGTAAGTTCCCATGTTGGTGCACGTGGTGGATGGAGGATCTCTCTCTGCCTTTGAGGTGCGTGCTGAGAGTGCTGCAGACTGCCATATCATAGGGTGCTTTTCCACTTCGGGTATTTTTGGTACTTTCCCTTTTCCATTGACTTCCAGTCAAGTACCAATACTAAAAGTTCCAGTACCTAAAGTACCAAATGACCTGCGTTAGTTTTTTTGGTACTTTGTGATTCTTTTTGTCAATTGCTTATGCCTCTGAAACACATTATGAACTCTGAAATCAACAATAAACAAATATCATAATAATATTGAATGTGTAGACATGAACAAATCCAAGCTTTAATTGCGATCTGGTCAAAAGAACAGATACAAGATCAGGATGGCATGACAAATTAAAGTACAGTAGTACCTTAGAACTCAAACGCCTCTTGCCTCGGCCAACGTGGACATCGAATGGGTCTGTTGGATTTTCTTCCACTTGCAGCTCGACCGAAATCATGGAACCTGACCGTTCCTGCTAAAACTTGCATGGGTCGAGAAAAATCTAACTGCAACTTGACCCAAAACTTGGAACAGAACAAAACAAAACAGACCTGCTGAAACTTGTATGGATCAAGACGCATCTCTGATGGGCTGAAACAAAGGCAAACAGACATACTGGGATGCTAATGCTGATGAATCGCTCTGTCTCACAGTACCTCTCGACCAAGTTCAACATGTGAAAGCTGTGTTCCTCTGTTGGCTGTGAATTTTTGTGTGCTTTATCTACAGTACATTTAGCAATACAGTACAGTAATCATGGCCCCTAAGAAAGTGAGCAACGATAGCAGCAAACCAAAGAGGAAAGTAGTGAGAGTAACTGTGGAACTTAAAATTATAGCGAGACTTCAAGGTGGTGCATGTGTGTCTGCTCTCTCTTCAGAGTATTGGCTTGTCGTTTATTTCATGTTTATTACTTTTGTATGTGTGCTTTTTCATGTGTGTATTAGATTAATATTGATTGTTAATGCGTTTTATCATTAGCTATATAAGTTTAAATAAGCAATCATTTGGGGGTCTGCAACGGATTAAATTAATTTACGTTATTTATTTTCGGGTAATTCGGCTTGGACTTTGACCAAATCTCGACTAGACCAGCCTTCTGGAACAGTTCAGTTCATTTTCTTAGGTACCAATGTTGTGATGTGATTTTGTTGTAATGAACATCGGGACATTTGTAAAGCAGAAAAGAGTTCCAAATAAATTTCTCATAAATCTGTCTAGGAGTGATTTAAATAGCAAGGATGAAAATGATTGATTGTCTCTCAGAACGCACGCAGCACTCATGCAAAAGCAGCGGAGATAAACTTATTTTTAAATTTATATTAGATGAAAAGGAATAATCACTCAAATCTATGACTGTAAAAATGTTTTAGCAAGAACATCCTGCACCATAATATCAGTGCAGTATGAGGGTATGGAAAACCCTCATCTCAATTCAGTTGACTGTCCTGGCGATGTCAGAATTGTATGAGCGAAATATGCTACAACCCCTACAGCCATTTTTCGAACTCAGTTCAAAATACCCTGCCTCTCATTGTGAATTGTGATGTGATTCAGTGCCAGTACGAGTTATTATGCCATGGGAAAACCAACAAAGTATCGTATTTTTGGTACTTTTTTGAAGTATTGGAAAACCACCCTTCAACAAGAGTTTCCCACAAACGTTGGTATGAGGTAGCATTGGATATGCGTATAGCTAGAGAGTATCATGGGGATGTCATCAGTTTTAAAATGTTGGTCTTTGCGGTATCAAGAAGAAAATCTTTTTCCATTGTAGCTATTAAGCGAAACTCTTGGGACTTTTTTGTGCAACGTTCAGTATGATTTTAAAAACATGCAGTGGTGGAGAGGTGACTATTGGCACAGAAGATGTCTGTGAGCTTGAATGGTACTGTGCTTACAGCCCATGCACGATGACTACGACCTGAGGCAGGAGCAGCTGAACAAGGCGTCTCTGTTGTCCTCCAAGAAGTTCCTGGAGAACCTGCTGGAGAAGTTCATTAGCAATGTGGTGAGTGGGGGTGGGGGCTAAATGAGGGTGGGTGGATCCAGACTTTGTGGGAGGTCCATATGTCCAAGGGATTGACGGTTTAATCTGAAAGGTGGGTGGATCCAGATATGGTAGGAGGGTTCATCAGACTGAGGTATTGTGAGTGAGAAGCCTAAAGTAAAGGTGGGCACATCCAGACCTTGTGCTGACTCTCCTTCCTGCTCAGCTCATGCTATGTAGTCTTGATAAGTTGTTAGCTGAATGGGTCTGGAACTAAATGTGGTTGGACTTCCTGTCACTTTCCCATGTTGCCCAATATCTGTGCTTGTTGGGAAATGTCTGTAAGCTCGTGATCAAAAATAAACTGCCTCTGTTCCTTCTTGAAGAAATTTATCCTTACGAAAATATGAACAGGACCAGAGATTTCTATTGGAAGTAAGAACAACTGGTCAATCATTGTTTATGTAAAGCAGACACTTTTGTTATTTATGAGCATGAAAACACATTTCACACACTGAAGAAATTATTTATTTTAATAAATACGGTTTTAGTAAATACGGAAATGCACTAATAACATTTTATCGGATTAAAAATGACCGCACAGTCAAAGTCGTTTAATGCTTTAATGAGCTTTAGCAGGAGCAGAAACCCTCATTCTGGATCTGTGATTGACAGCCCCTACACCTGTGCCATAATTATAATCTTGATCATTTTTAAAAATTTTGTTTATATTTCTCAGTGTAGTTTTATTAGTTTTTACTTTAAAGATGTATTTCTCTTTAGTTATATATTCTGGTTTCAGTTTGTGATTTTTATATCTATGGAAAGACAAAGTTGTAGAGGTATTTTATACATCTGAATTTTAGAGAATCCTACATGATTTCACAGTGCACATTATGTACTCGTGTCCTCCTAATGTGCAAAGCATGTTCCAGGTATTATTAATTGTCATTATATGTAACAATTGTTTTGTGTTATTTCAGTTAGTTTCTGAAGCAGGACTTGTAGCTTTTGTTTAGTTTTTTTTTTTGGGTTTTATTTTCACACCTTATTTGAGCTTATGAAACTGTTTTCTTATAGTTTTCGTTAATGAGAATAACCCTGGCTGGTGGTAGTAGCCCACCCCTCCTCTGTACCCACAGGGTCTGTTCTTGATCTTTACAACCGACCAGCTTGTTCTTCCCCATTTTCCTCCTCGTAATTTTCTTAACGAGCACAGTCCCCCAGCCACTTTCACTCATGATGGAGTTCTTAATTACACCACGCACCCCCCGGGCAAGAAGTAAGTAAGGGAAGCAAATTATGGTGTCATGTCCCAAGAGCTTGCTAGCTGCCCCCCGTCTGTTGCCTTTCAGCCTACCGTGGTTCGGTGTGGTGATTCTGTGTACTACCCCCCTCCCCCCCCCACAGGAGCATGGCACGGGGGCTCTGGTCATCAGCTCACTACTGGACTTCCTCACCTTTGCGCTGTGCGCCCCCTACAGCGAGACCAGTGAGGGGCAGCAGTTCGACATCCTGCTGGAGATGGTGGCTGCCAATGGCCGTACTCTCTTCAAGCTTTTCCAGGTGGGGGGGCTAGGCCCAGTATTTTCATGGTGGTGTGGTTTTAGCACCTATACCGTTCTTGCAGATGGGCGATTTAAAAACACCTAGATTTTGTTACATCTTTGTATGTCATCTTTGGGGAGTTGTTGTGGGGGGAAGTGTTTGGCTCTGGCAGTCGTAATTTGAAGAATGAAGGTGAGAAAATGGAGCTGAGCAGCTTCTCATGTCTGTCTCCAGATTAATGTGCTGCAGTTAGTGTGGCGGAATGTTTCTTTTTTTGGAGAATTTCTTATCAACCTAATAATTGTTTTCATGAATGTTCTTACGTCATCCCTTCTGACAAGTTATATGCATCCAAAATCCCTCGGCTCAGTCTTTCTGACAAAGTGCTCAGGATGTACTGTAAATTTCTTAGTGATTAATTTGTCTTCCCCCCCCCCCCCCCCATTAGCACCCCTCTATGGCCATCGTGAAGGGAGCCGGGCTGGTCATGAAAGCCATCATTGAGGTGAATTCTCGTACACCACCCACCCCACCCCCCTTCGATTTTCGCCATCTGTCTAAATCAGGGCAAGCCGGGGCTTGTTTCATCTCGTACTCTTTGCCCCCCAGGAGGGGGACAAGGAGATTGCCACCAAGATGCAGGAGCTGGCCCTGAGTGAGGGTGCACTCCCCCGGCACATGCACACCTCTCTGTTCACTATCAGCTCCGACCAGCGTATGCTGACCAACAGGTGAGGGGGGGAGGGGGGCGGGGGTTAGAATTATTATGACAGGGTATTATGTCGGTGCCTTTGATAGCATGAGTACAGTGGGTGTTGCAGTGTTCCTCATCCAGGGCTGTGAGTTCGAATCCCATTCTGAGTCTCTGTGTGGATTTAGCATCTTCTTCCTGTGCTAGGTTATGATTTATAGAAGGCGCATTGTTGTGCTGATTATACGCAGCTGATACACGTAGAAGATGCTCATCACAGCCCTTAAATTATAGGATTCTCTGTAATATAAACTAATAAAGCATAATATAATAGTTTCATACTCATATTAGAATAACCACAATCTCACTTCTGTAAAGAGGTATTTGGGTGAGGTATTTATGGTGCACACAGATGGTGTTGACCCATTGTGCAGCTTAATCACGGGATGCTGACACAGTAACACGTAATATGGAGTGCTAGCGTGTGCGGCGAACACACATGGAGGCTCTGAATGTCCACAACTCAGCACGGTTTCGCTTTGCCCTCAGGCAGCTGAGCCGACATCTGGTGGGACTGTGGACGGCCGAGAACCCCATTGCCATGAACCTGCTAAAGAGGATACTGGTGAGGGGGAGGACAGACAGGAGATCGGGTGTGGAGGGGGCGATGGAGGAGAGGAGGAGTGTGGAGGGGGAGGAGGAGGAGACATGATGGTGGGAAGAGCAGGAGGAAGTGCAGGGAAATGAGGGGTAAGGGAGCAGTAGATAGATGGAAATGTGGGTGGAGGAGATGGAAGAAAAGGGGTGTGGAGAAGATGAAGGGAAAGGAGGGTGGAGGGGAGAGCCGAAGGGGTAAAGGAGAAAGGGGATGGGAAGGTGGAGGAGAGAATGTAGAGAGGGAGGGTGGTGAAGGTAGAGGAAATAAAGTGGAAGAGGAGGAGTGTGAAGAGGAAGGAGGAGGATGGTGGAGGGGATAGCAGGAAGGGTTAGGATATAGGGGAAAGGGAGAGTGAAGTGGGAAGAGGAGCATAGGAAGTTGGAGGAAAATAATGGTTTAGGGAGGCGAGAAGGAGGGCCTGTGGAACAGTGACTGGGAGTTAAGTAGCGCTCCGGTCTGAGTGGTGGTTTGGGAGAAAGAAATGTGACATCAGAGCTTTGTCACGTACCACTTGGTCCAGAGTCATCTGTTCAGGGGTGAAGAAACAGGTTCATTCCTCATCAAGCCAATTGGGGGAATACTTATTTGCACTAAACAGTAATATGAATTGTGAGATGATAAATGTTTTATCCAGTTAAATCCTCTGACTCTCTCAGGTGACCCACATGGCAGGAATCATCCAGATATTTATTATAATTTAAGAACCTTCCCATTATAAAGCTTTAAAGTTTTTATGAGGAACAAGATGTAACAATAATGCAATGCACAGCCTACTCTCTAAGTTCTGTAAATGAAGGGAGTGCTTGTCTGTAGCCCACAGGATTGTTAGCATGTCTGGACAGCACAGAGCAGGTTCCGGAGAAAGACGCGGACAGGATGCACATCCGGGACAACGTGAAAATCGCCACGGTAACCAAGGCCGTCACTTGACTGTGCGGTTTGACAGCAGCAGTTAATATGCCCCCGAGTGCACAGTGACCGATTTGCAGAGGCTATTAGCAACTTAGGTGTGCATCTGAGGGCTCTCATCCCCAACCCTATACCATGCAGGACCAGTTTGGACGGAACAAGGTCCCAGAGTGGCAGCGGCTAGCGGGCAAGGCAGCCAAGGAGGTAGAGAAGTTCGCCAAGGAGAAGGCTGACGTCTTGCTGATGCACTGGCGGGACAAGATGGGTATCGCACAGAAGGAGGTGAGAACCATCTGTCTGGCCTGTTCTCTCTGTCCTGTATGGGTCTCTGTCCTGTCTATATGGCTCTCTGTCCTGTATGTCTGTCTGCCCTGTCT